TCCTGGGTTTGAGTCCCTTGTGGCTCCTTGTGTGGCGGGGGGCCTGCTTCTCCCTCGGCCTGCAGCTCCCCTTGCTTGTGCTCTAACAAATAAAATCTTAAGACAACGACAACAACAACAAAAAACCCAGGAAAAGCATAAATGGGGTTTTACTTAAGTCTGCAGCTTCTAACTGAGTCCAGCCCTTGGAAGCCTCTCCTTTGGCCCACATAGTATTGCCACAACAATCAGAATTAGACCCAACATTTATTTAAATTTTTATTTATTTATGATAGTTACACACACACAGAGAGAGAGAGAGAGAGAGAGAGAGAGAGAGAGAGAGAGAGAGGCAGAGGGAGAAGCAGGCTCCATGCACCGGGAGCCCCATGTGGGATTTGATCCCGGGTCTCCAGGTTCACGCCCTGGGCCAAAGGCAGGCGCCAAACCGCTGCGCCACCCAGGGATCCCTAGACCTGACATTTAAAGAGTAGGAGATTACACATTAAAATTCTGGCTTTAAAAAAAAAAAAAAAAATCAGAACAGTAACAGCAGGCCCAGATTCCCATAGGTAACAGGTACCCCCTTCAGGTGGGACAGACTGTCAAGTGTGCTCTGGACACCACCACTCCCTATCGCCCACATGCAGCCCCTTTGGGGTGACTCACCTATCAGGCCCCTGGCGCGTTGGAGTTTCCAACCGCTGACCTTGAAGCGCCCTCAAGGCTCTGATTTCCGGGGCGGACCCTCTCGTAGGGGGCAGGGGAGGGAGGGCTCGGGATTCCTACGGGCCTGTGATGCAGCTATCAGTTTTCACTCCAACCTGAGCTGAGCTCACCCTTCCTTTTTCTGTGTAAGAGAAGCTGGAGAGAATACAGAGGGCTCCTTTCCCCCAGGATTCCTTCGGCAAGCCACTGCCATCACTTTCTGGAAGGTCCCCTTCTCCATTTTACCAGCAAGAGGGCCTCTGTCCTTCCCTTTTCCTCTGGCACAGTATCTCCGTCATTGACCCTGTGGAGTCGTGGGGAGCTGGGCTCACTCTGGAGCCATGGCTGAGTGCAGGGCGAGCTGTGGGAGCCCATGGTGGGGAGCGGCGTGGGGCCCTGCCCTGCCCGGTCCTCCAGCCTGGTCCACCCGGGGCTCTGGATCCGTTCATTCATTCCCACAGTGTTTCATGACTGTGTGCTCACACCCAGTGCCGCCCCCCTGCCCCCATCTCATCGGCTTTCCCACGCCCTGTGCCAGGCACCCTAGCCGGCTGTCATGTGGGACCTACGTGGATTTAAAGGGGAGACGCCCTGCCCTAGTCACGTGCCATGGGATGCACTTTCAATGCCTCGGATTCATGGTCACGGTCATCAGGTTGCTGCAGCAGCGTGCCCTTGGGTTAATGCCGCCCCAGCTGAAGGGCCCTTGGGAAGACCCGGGGTGAGCACACCTGTCCCTGGCAGCTGAGGTTAGTGTTAGGCCACGTTTGTCCCTGTGCTACGGGCCCACATCCTTCACCCCAGGGCTGGTCCATGTTGACGGGGGAGGGAGGAGGAGGCGGCATCGGTGCTTCCTCAGGCCCCGGGGGTGTCACTGACCAGCTCTGTGGGCCCCTGTGGTTTGTGCTATTTGTGCTAAAGGATCCTGGAAAAGTCCGTGCTTCCCCCTCGCAGGGACCCTGGGATGCTCAGGGAGGCCCTGAGAGCTCCTTCAGCAAGATCCCCATTTAAGCTTTTTAAAATTATTTTTTTAAGTTCTAGTATTTCCCAAGCCAGTTATTAACAGAAGCTGTTTTTAATGGAGCATTTATTAACCTCCTTTAGAAGTGCTCTTCCAGGGGCGTCGGGGGGCTCATGGGTTGAGCAGCTGCCTTCAGCTCAGGTGCGACCCCGGGGTCTCGGGATCGAGTCCCGCATCGGGCTCCCCGCATGGGGCCTGCTTCTCGCGCTGCCTGTGTCTCTGCCTCTCCCTGTGTGAATCATGAATAAATGAATAAAATCTTAAAGAAAAAGATTTTATTTTTTTTTAAGAGTAGTGTCAGCTCGGATTAAGGCTTTAATAAGTAAGTACCCCATGCCAGGTCCTGGGCACCCAGCAGGCACCCAGCCTGCGGGGTCTGGGCCGCTTCCTCTCTCCAGGGCTCGTAGGTCCCAGATACACCGAGACCGTGGACGTCCACGGTCCTCACACCTGCACACACCACGCAAACGACAGAGTCCTCCATCTGACCCCTTGTTGCCGCGTCTGCTGCATGAAAGCCGCAGGGAAAAGCAAAGGGTGATGACGACGGGGACGGGAGTCAGACTGGAGCGCGGGCGCTGCCCGCTGAGGAGCCAGCCGGGCAGACGGGGAAGGGCCTTTTTGGAGAAAATCGGGCACATCTGATGACGGACTGAGTACTACGTGGAGTCATTCGTTTCGGTAGCTGTGCTAAGGCCCTGAGTGGTTCTGTAGGAAAAGCATTCTCCGGAGTGCAGGGGTGAAAGGCCGGGCGGGCTGGGAGAGGTCAGGAGGGAAGGAGGGGATTCACTCGGCCTAAGTGGGTGAGGCGCAAAGGGCGCGAAGGATACGCTTCTGGCTTCTGTGTATCCGGGAGGAGTTTCCTAATTAGGACCAAAACAGCTCAGACACCTGGAGGTCACACCCGGCTTCTTGGGTCCTCTCCCCCACCCCCCAACTTCCCTCCACCCGGGAGCCCCCCACCTCAGCCTGCTAGAGCCAGTTCCCCAAGCACAGCCCACCTCCTTGCAGCCCATCCCGGCTCCCTTGCTTTCCCACAAGGGAGAGGCAACAGCCCAGTGACTGGGGGCCCTGCACCCAGACCCTGCTCTGCGCAGGCCCTGGGCTAGCCGACCCCCCGATCCTTCCTTCCTCCGGCTGTAAAATGGGTACAGCAGTAGCCAGCTCACCTATCACTTGAGCACCAGAGCCCTGCACAGGGTCTGGCTTTGCTCAGTGACCCAGAAGTATCAGTTGTCACTCTGCTGTAATTTCAATCTGATCCTTAGTTAGCCCTGCTTGACATCATCAGTGGTTCCCCCACCCCCATCCCAGAGTGCTCGGATAAGGTCCCATCCTCTGGCTCACCTCCCCAGCCTCAGCTCTGCTTCCTTCCACCCTACCACTCCATGGCTGTCCTCCCACCACCGCTATGGGGAGGTCACCTCCTCCTCCTCCATAGCCCCCAGCCTGGGGCAGTGGGCTCTTCAGGTCCAACCCCCCCACTCTATACCTCACCTGGCCCCAGTCACATGGGCAATAATCCACTCCCTTGCCTGTCTCCTTCACGGTCTACAAGCTCCCTAACCAACCTGGGGTCCATTCTTTTCCAGGGGGTCTCCTTTCTGCAGATCCTTCAGTCAAGATACTCTTTGGCAATTTGGTTTCTAGATTTTATTTCAGAACCGAACACATCTTGACTTGTGCCTCAAGGCCTTTGCCTGGTGTTCCCCAAACTTCCAAGTGCATGTGAATCTCCTGAGGGGCACCTGGCTGGCTCAGCCAGTAGAGCATGCGACTTTTGATCTCAGAGTTGTAGGTTCAAGCCCCATGCTAGGTATAAAGATCAAAAATAAAATCTTAAAAAAAAAAAAAAAAGGCAAAACCACTTTGCTCTCCTGGCAGCGCTGGATGAGTGTGCCTCTTTGAGAAAAGGCCTTCAAGCCCGGAACCCACCTTCACTCCTGAGTCTCCTCCTCCCCAAGGGGAGGCCTGTGTGTTCTCCCAATGGGAGAGAACACAGAGGGGGGTGTTGGAGACCTCCTGTTGCACTGGGCACACTGAGAACTTACCAGATGCCACCATCCTCCCACAACTCCCAGTCCACCTGGGCCTGACTCACCTGGAAAGCAGATCCTTTAGAAAGGCTCACCGAAGCTGCCCCTCCCCAAGCCCTGCCTCCTGTCCCCCCGCCAGCCCCTGCAGCAATCACACGTTACTGCTGGAAGAGCTGCCATCAGCTCCAGAATGCTCACCTTCCCCCCCACTTTTGTTTCATTTGAGTGAGGAGCCGGCTAAGTGCCAGGGGAGGGAGGCGGAGACGGCCCGTGCTGGTTGAGTGGAACCACGGGTGTGAAGCTCCCATCACATGCCAGTCCCCCAGGATGTCTGTGTTGGGGCTGCACCAGCTTCCTGCCCTATCCCCTCCTCCCAGACCCCCCGAAAAGCTCGGGGCAGCCTCCTCAGCCTCTATCCCTGCCGCATCCCGCCGGGACGTGCCACAGCTCACTTCCACACCCCAGGAGCGGAGACCACCGACGCCTCCACCCGGGTCAGGACACTCCATTCCCTGGGTGGGTGTTCAGGCGTCTGAGACAACGCGTGGCTGCAGGACAGTCAGCCCTCCCCGCCAAGCCCGGGGCCTCCGCTCAACCCAGGCTCTGGGCTGGAGCAGATGTTGTCTAACACAGTTATGGACGTTATTTTTCAGTAATTGTTTTATTCCATCATGACAGCCTACCCCATCTTCCCATCACCCTAAAGTATCCCACCTGTGCCCTAGGTCACCTCTCCTCTGGCAGTATTGGTTCTGAAGAGGTGGGGCTCTCTAACCCAGCTGGGTGGCTGCTCTCGCCCCAAGGCTGAGCCTTGGAACCCGGCTCCCTGGGTCTGGGGGACCTGGGAGCCGCTCCTCGCCCCGCAGTCCTTGGCTTGAATGCAGAAGGCACGGCCACACCCAGTCCCCCCCAGAGATGCCTCTGCTCTCGGGGCTGGGTGGCGGTTCAGAGGTCGCACTGAAATGTCATCCCTGGTAGGGTGTTTGGTGATGGTTCCTGGTGCCACGCAGGAAGAAATGAAAACTGAAGCACATGGACAGTCAACTCTTGTTCAGCTAGTAATTCCTCAGACAATGGTAAAATAAAAAGCCCCCCCCTCCAAAAAAAATCAATGTGATTTGGCCAACGGTTTCTTAAATTTTAAATTAAAAGGAAAAAGGAAAAAAAAATCCCATTCACACAGAGGAGATTCCAGTTATCTGCTTTGAAGAAATATATTAAAGAAAATGGAAGGTAAAAAAAAATCACACCCCAAATAATGGTAAAAATAGATGTATTCTCTGTAAAAATCTGGGCCAATCTATGGAGTCCTTCTTCTGTACTCAGTATTCAGAGCATGAGGTGAGATACCAGAGCACGAAACCCCTGAGCCCCAAGGGACCCTGCCCTGGCCGAGCGCCCCCGCCGCCGGGCTCCCCCCGGGGCTCCCCCCGGGGCTCCCTCGGGGCTCCCTCCGGGCCTTCACAGTTCTTCCCTGGTCCTGCCCAGTTTCGTGGCGTGCTCTTCTACGAACTTGCTCAAGTGTTCCAGATCTCGGTTTCCGTCCTCAAACTTGATCGGGTTCTCTTTGTCGCCGCTGGGGGCGAAGTAGATGGTGGGGAACCCGTCGACTCTGAAGCGGTCGCTGGGGACGTCGTTGGCCGTGGCGTCCATCTTGGCGACGACCAGGTTCCTGTGGTTCTTGTACTTCTTGGCGAGCGCCGCGTACTCGGGCTCCAGCCGCTTGCAGTGCCCGCACCAGGGGGCGTAGAACTCGATGAGCACGTCCTTCCCGGGGTCCATCACCACCGAGTCGAAGGTCCTGCCCACCACCACCGTGACAGGCCCCTTGTTGTTCTTGGGCACCGGCTGCGATCTGACGACCGGCTTCAGGGTTCCTGCGCGGAAGAGGGGGGGGAGGGGAGGGGAGGGGAGCGTGAGGGCCGGGGCCAGGCCCCGCGGGGGGGGGGCACCCTCCGTCCTGTGGCCTCGTCCTCACGCCCACCCTGGGCTGCTCGGCTCTCCGGCCCCCCCCGCCCCGCCCCCACCCCACCCTCCACGGCTCCCCACGCGCACGCGCACGCGCACGCCGCCGCCCCTGCGTCAGCAGCCTGCCCGGCTTCAAGGGCGCCCCGGGGAGGCTCCCCAGATCCCGGGCGGCTGCTGGTCTCTGACATACGAAGCAGGAGGAGCCGCCCGAGAGGGGCGCCCCCGCCACGCACCTTCCTTGAAGGCCCGCACGAACTGGCGGAGGGCGTCCGAGCCGAAGTCGTCGGGCTCCATGGCGAACCTGCGCCCGCCCTCGGCCAGGATGGCGGCGTTGACGTCCTCGCCGCTCTCGCTCAGCCCCAGGTCCCTCACCTCCGACGCGAAGTCGTCCTCGTCGGCCACCGCAAACGTGTACTCGGGGAAGTCCTTGGCCACCTCCAGCACCTTGTTCCGCCAGAACTGAGTGGCTGACGGGAGGGGGGGCGGGGGGGGGGGCATCGTGAGCGCCGAGGGACGGCCGGGCCCCGCCCCCGCAGCCCCGCCCCCGCCGCCCCGCCCCCGCCGCCCCGCCCGCCGCCTCAGCACGGAGGCCCCTGGCGCGCGCCAGAGAAGGAAGGAGGAGGAGCGGGGCCCTGCAGCACGGAGGGGCCCTGCAGCCCAGCCGCGACCGGGACCGCGACCGCGACCGCGACCCCGCCAGCGCCGCTGTGCGCGTGCCCGTGCAGGAGCCCCTCGCGGCGGCCTCTCACCCGCTCTGTAGTCGAAGCTGAAGTCCACGCCGTAGTACACGACCACGAGCGGCCGGCGCGCGTACCGCTTGGCGTCGTTGGCGCTGCGGCGGTGGCCCACCAGCGGCAAGGTGTGCCTCAGCACGTGCTCCCTGATGGCCGAGCCGGCCGCCGAGCCCTGCGGGGACGCGCACAGGTGAGCGCGGCCCAAGGGGCGGGGGGGGGGGGGGGGGGGGCCTGCTCTGGAAGGACGGGCCGGGGGCGGAGCGGTCTGCGGGCTGCGCGCCCCGTAACCCCGTTTTCCTCTGGGGCTCCTGTCCTCCGTGACCCCTAAGTGAGCTGCCGGGGCCACTGCAGACCTCGTGCGCCCTGACGCGGGGCCTGGGCAGGGGCGCCTGGGGGCTGGGCTCAGAGGCTGAGCGCCGCCCGCCTTCAGCCCAGGCCGTGACCCCGGGGTCCCGGGATCGAGTCCGGTAGGGCTCCCTGCATGCTGCCTGCTTCTCCCTCTGCCTGGGTCTCTGCCTCTCTCTCTGTGTCTCTTGTGAATAAATAAAATGTTTAAAAGAAAAAGATGTTTAAAATGTTTAAGACATTTTTAAATGTTTTTTTTTTTTTAAAAAACTGCTGGGAGAAGGCAGGCTTCTAGAGGACAGTTGTTCTCGCTGTTGACCTGAGTGGGATGATCCATCTCCCCTCATCTGATCCTAACAGCCCCATGGGGGGCATTTTACGGTGACAACCACACAGCATAGGAGGTGAAGGGAGGGAGGCCCCGGGGGACACAGCCGGCGAGCGGCCACCTCGAGAGGCCACACTCACGACGACCGTTGTGATCTCAGGCTGGACCATGGAGCCAGACAGAGCTCCGGGCCTGGAGGCTGCTCCGCTGAGGCCACCCCTCTGGAGAGGAGGGCGGGAGGCCCAGCATGCAAGGGCTCAGGGGTCTAGCACCAGGCTGCCGTCCTCGGACAGGCTCAGCAAGGCTGGCTCCTGAGGGTTTCCAGAGGAGATGAACCCGACAGATGTTTATGCAGCTTCTGTGACCAGCTGGACACAGTGGCCATGGCTTGGCAGACATGAGCTGGGGTGACCGCCTCAAGGGCCAAGCAGGGGCCCCTGGCTCACACTAAGACAGATGCTGACCCAGAGCCTCCAGACACCAGCCCCACAAGCACCCAAGGGTGGGCACTGCCATCTCACGTTACAGGGGAAGAAAGTGAGGCACGGCCAGGCTGAGCCGCCCACCCAGGCTGCAGAGCAGGAGGTGGCTGGTGAACACTGTACTCTTTACTCTGGGCTGAGGTCCATCAGGGTGGGACACGGGGAGGTGGCCCTGGGCAGCTCTAAAGGATGGCAGCACTTCCCAGGTGGGAGGGGGAAGGTGTTGCAAGGGAGGAGCCAGCAGCAACCACACGGGAGATGGCACAGGGGAGATGGTCCCAGGGTATGGGGAGGGTGGGGGGAAAGTGATGGAAGAAGGACTGAAGAGGCCGGCAGGCCATGGGGCATCTGACAGCCTTCAGGCTGAATGTCACTCAGAAGGTGAACTCGTGAGTAAAGCAGAGTGACCCCACGGCAAATATGCTCTGCAAGTGACCATTTGCCCCCCGCAGGCCCGAACCTGCACTCAGGAACAGAGCGGGCCTCACACCCTGCAAGCCAACAGCTCCTTCCTTGTCGTGGCGATCCTCCGTGTGCTGCCCTGAGAGCTGGCTGCTTCTTACTTGCCCTGCCTTTGACTTCCCTTTGTCCCTATTTCCAAATCCACTTCTTTTTATTTTTTTTAAATACTTCTAAGTAATCTTTACACCCAACATGGGACTTGAACTCATGACCCCGAGATCAAGAGTCACACACTTCTCCAACTGAGTCAGCCAGTTTTTAAAAAACTGCATTTTATTGTGTTGTATCAATGTTTAGCGGTCTTAAATAATTTTTGCGACCAAGCTGGTACATAAGTAATACCAGTCCATTCAAGGTACGAAGTGAAAAGGCAGTGACGTGTGTAACAGACTAGACTGAGGGGCCCCTAACCTTTCTGGGGTCAAGGACCAGAATCTAGGAAGATTCTATCGAAAGCTCCAGACCCCTTTCCCAGGAACATTCACACCACCCAGAACGGTGCCCGGTTCCTGGGGTCTGCAGCCCCCCACACTCATCTCCAGACCCCAGGTCAATACCTATGGATGAAAAGGAGCTGGATGGGACAGGAGACATCACAGCCCAGCCCCTCCCCTTGGTCTGCTCCTAACTGGCTGTGGGAGCCAGGGACACAACACAGCTCTCTGCTCTGCATCCCAGTCTCTCTCTCAAAGGAAAGCCCTGACCTGGAGATGGAGGGTTTCTTCCGAACCTGACAATCTGCTCGCTAAAGCACAGGGCCCCGTGAAGCACGCAGGACGTGGAACTGGATCCAGGCTTGCCCTGGGCCTGAAGCCCCCTCCGCCCTTCTCAAGGTGAGTAGATCACGCTTGGAAGATGCGGGCTGGGCATAGGCCCATGGGGGAGAAAAAGGGAAGGCCAAACCCGTGGGCCACGTTCCACAGCTCCGCCCGCAGACAGAGGCCTGCTATCACTCCACAGCTCGGCCCCGGAGCCGACCTGTCGGCCAAGCAGGCCTCGCTCAGACACAGGAGCACGTTCCGGCCAAGGGGCAATGCCCGACACGCAAGCCAGAGCCACAGCAGCTGAGCACCCAGGAGGGTGGCGCTGGCCTGCGGGGGGGGAGAGGACAGGGAGCCACTCTGGCAGGCCCCCCAATAAATCACCGACCACCCTGCTGGCTGCTCTGGCGTCCTCAGCCTCCCAGGAACCTGCCCCTTTACCAGGCAGGGGGCTGGGAAAGGCACTCCAGACCCCACACACATCTGAGGCTCGGAGCAAAGCCTCCATGCTCCAGAACCCCAGCTGTGGCTCACCCAGCAGCCTCAGGTTGCTCAGAAGCCTGCACGTACAATACGGTGAACCTTCCATACATTCGGCACTAATGTCACACCGAATGCTAACTGCAATTTAAATACAAACTAAAAGCAAAAACAGAAACTAAAAAACCAAAAAACCAAACCAAGCCAAACCACCAAAATACCCACAAAAGCAGCCTGGGGCCTGCTGTGGCCGCGAGGGCCCTCACTCACCTGGATGTCCAGGACGTTGCTCCTGGGCTCGTACTTGGATTGGAACTTCTCAGGCTGCATGACGACCAACTTCCCTGGGGAGACTTTCAAGAACTTTGCTATTTCAGTGCTGAAAGTGTGGTGGAATTTGTAATCTTCTCTCAGGTTGTTCGCTGAGAATTTAACAGAACGATAAATACACAGTTTATTAACCTGCATCATTGACCCAGGCTGAACTCGCTGTCCCCATCGGCCAAAGCTGATGCCCTGCGAAGACGGGGATTGGCGGGCACCTAGGTGGCTCAGTGGCTGAGCATCTGCCTTTAGCTCAGGTCGTGATCCGGGGGGGGCCCTGGGCAGAGCCTGCTGCTCCCTCTGCCTGTGTCTCTGCCTCTCCATGTCAGGGAGGAAGGGGGGGAGGAAGGGATCGGCACCATGAATACTGCGTGGACGACACTCAGAGCTTAAACACCTGAAGGAAGTTTGGATTTTTCAACTTGGTAGAGGTTTAACACCTTAGAGCCTCTACCTTAGAATTTGTTTTTAGGAAGAAAAACAAAAAACAAAAAACAAAATAACAAACTGAATGTTCACAGAGCAACTTCAAGCTCATTTGTCAGGAGCTAGTGTTGCCGATGCTGAGACACACGTGAGAGCCGCAGTCGGTCTCTGAGAACAGGTGGGCGCCACGCTCCCCTACAGCCACAGGGTGAGTTTTCACACGCAGCCCCTTCGAGAGGGTTTAGACTCTCCTCCTCAGATTGCTGGCTGGCCTGTTTGTGGGCTGCAGTTCTTTTGCTATCTTATTTAAATCTCGAGACGAGACCCCACTGCCTGAGGACATTCTAGAACAGGGTTTGGCAAACTTTCTGGAAAGGACCAGACAAGATCTTTAGCTTTGCAGGCCATGCCACCCCAACCACTCAACTTGCCACTGAGAGTAAAAGCAGCTAGACAGTGTGTAGGCCGCTAAGTGTGGCTGCGTGCCTGGCCAGTTTGTGCATCCCTGCCCTAATCCCCTGGGTGAATGAACACACCTCAGTCTCTGCTCTGAGCTGAGTCTGTGATCCCAACACTGGGTGAGACGTCAAAGGTGTCCCCCCAGCCTGGACCGGATTACAGGAAACTCGGCTGAGACAGTGTACACCACATGCTTTGGGGGGCAGCTCTCAAAACCAGCCAGAGTTAGATTTAAGTCACAATTCTGAGACCTGCTAATCATGTGACTATAGGCGTGTGAGTGATTCACTGCACTCCCCCCCCGCCCCCGCCCCGGGCCCCAGTCCCTGCTCTGCAGAAACATGGGTCTCCCTTGCCACCTGCAGGGAGGCTGGGATCACCCTGGGCAAGACTCCCCCTGGTTTAGCTCCAGGGAGAAGACGGGCTACCTAATCCACAAGGACAGACGAGGCACCCCCACCCTGGCACTGGGGGGTTCACCTCTCCTCTGAGCTCAGCCACAGTCACCCGCACTTGGCATGGGCACACCTGTAACCGCGCCACACAAATGAGCACTAAGGGGCAATCCGTGCATTTAGAACACTGTAATTACTGCTCTAAAGCAGAAAATCGAACCATCTGTGGTATGTGGGGGGGGGGGGGTGCGGTGGTGGGGGACCCCGGAAAGAACCTGACGAGGACGGAGAGGATCCTCAGTGTTCCTGAGAGAAAACCTCTTTCATAACCTAGGGTCATCTGGGAGAGCAAGTCCGACCACCATGGATTTCAGGATGGGGCCAGTGCCACCTGCCCCCACAGAACACCACCTCTGACAGCTGTGCACAGTGACTCCGGCTCTCAACCTCTCAACACTAGCACTTCCTGGACGCCGGCGTTACCAGGCGCTTCGTCTACATCGTCTCAATGTAACAACCTCCTGCATAGAAAGATCTCCAAAGTAGATTATTTAATAAAATATATATCCACATATATTTTAAAGATTTTATCTATTTGAGACAGAGAGCATGACTGGGGAGGAGAGGGAGAAGCAGGCTGCCTGCTGAGCAGGGAGCCTGACGTGGGGCTTGATCTCAGGGTCCTGGGATCATGACCTGAGGTGAAGACAAACACTCAACTGAATAAGCTACCCTGGCGCCCCATAAAATATATTAAAAAAAAAAAAAGAAAAAAAGAAAAGAAAGAAAAAAAAAATCAAGTCACCACCTATGGTCACATGCTAATAACTAGCAGAGCCAGGACTTGGAACATGAGTCTGATTCAGAAACCCTCACGTTCTGGTGGAGACCCCACCCCTTGCAGAGGGGCTGGGAAGGGGATCCTGGAAAGACAGGGAGGGAGACAACACACTCGGATGAACCTGATTGTGCCCTTGCCCTCTGCTCAGAGGCCTACTCAGTATGGGATCCTGTCCCCCCACATGTAATCAAGGCCCCAACCCCAGAAAGGAAAGCCTGTTACCCGGGTGCTATCTCAATTCTTCATGGAGCGATCCCCTACACCGAGGCCCCAGGAGTTCTCCGCAGAAGCAGCAGACACCCCAGGAACCTGACAGCTGGGGCAGGGATCACCCGTCCAGCCCCGAGAGTCACGACTCACCGGCATCCTGGTACTGCTGGTAGGCTGGGTCGCTCTCCGCTTTAAAGACCCCAATGATGATGACATCATCCCCGTCCTTGAGGAACTCCTGGACCTGCTTCAGAGCCGTGATCTCCTTGGAGGGCGGCCCAGACTGCTCGATCATGTAGTCGACAATACCTGGGAGCAAAGCATGTGCCTGGGGAGGGGCTCGGGGCCCCCCAGGACACTGCCCACGGCTCTCCCCGCCTCCTCCCTCCCCACTGAGGTACGACTGGGAGGTGGCTTACCGTATTTTTCCCGTGGCCCGTTGTAATCGAAAGGCTTCCCCTTGCGGAAGATTTTCAGCGTGGGGTAGCTAGAGACCTCGAACCTCTTGGCCAGGTCTGTTTCCGCAGTGGCGTCCACCTTGGCCAGGGGAATCGGGGGGGAGCGCTTGCTCAGCTCCTTGGCGGCCTTCTCATACTCGGGGGCCAGCTTCTTGCAGTGTCCACACCTACAAGCAGCAGTCAGGCTAAGAGGAGCCCGTCCCAGCGTGGACACAGGCTCCCAGCCGAGGGACACACAGAAACCCAGCCTGTGCTCCCAGGCAAGTCAGCTAGATCCAGCAAACCTCCCAATGCCTCCAAGCTGAGGGCGTGGAGCCAGGCCCCTCTGGAGGCATGACACCACCGCACTGGTGCTACTCACAGTGGGAGGATGCACATGCGCACGTGCAGACACACACACACACGCAGGACACCCACGCACACAACACAGGCAGGTGTGTGACTGGAGCACAGGGTGGGCGTGGGAAAGGCTACGACACACAACATCCTAAGAATGGAGATTCTCTGCGTTGGGAGTGAGTACAGGCGAGGACACGAGTCAGGGATGGCCTTCCTGCCAGATGGGACAGCTGACCTGGGACACGAGACACAGGGAGGAAGTGGACGTGCGCCCTTCAAAGGTGGGCGAGGGGAGGGATGTGGGGGCCGAGATACAACCTAAGAAAAGCACGAGGACGGAACAAAGATCAACAGCGACCAACCAGGGCAGGAGACGGTGGGCCTGAGCCAAGGGAACCGGGACCGGAGACACCTTTATGACAGCCCGTCTGTACCCTAAGAACCGACGGGCCACACCGGGCGAGTGCCCTGCCAGTCAGAGGCCCTGAGGCCCGAGCTGAACAAAGCAGGCCTTGTCAGGGCCCTGAGGACACCTCCAGGCCGCACCCCACAGGTCACTGCTCCTGCGGCATCAGAGACAAGGTGAACTCGCTCTCCACGCGCTCGCTGAGCTCGCGACGGGGGCCGGCGGCGTGCTGAACCCAGCTCTGGGCAAGCACGACTTAGAGTCCACACCCCACCGTGAGGCAGCCCTGTGCAGCCTCCTCCAACACCCTCGCCACCTCCCGGGCCCCCGGCCCCCCCTCCACGCGCACCAGGGGTTCCTCCCCACCGCCTGCCTGTCCTCTCTGCGCACGTGCACACCCCACGTCGGCCAAGGGCAGCGCCTTCGGCCGCAGGGGTCCAGAGCCCTGTGGTCGCATCCCTGACTCCGCCTGCGCGGCTCGCCCTGACACAGCAGGCTTGCTCCAGAACCAGAACCCCTGGCTGAGCCAGGACGAATTTGCAGGTGGAGGGGCCCTCGGGCAGGCTGACGGCCCTCCCAGAGCAGCGGCCGCCGCGCTCCCATCTCCCGTGGACACACCGGCTTTGCTCAGTCGCCAGCGGCCCACAGCCCTCCGTCCTCTCCTCACAAAGGCCGAGAACCGCGGCACCCGGGCAGCCACCTCTCCCCCGCGCTGCCTTTATCCGGGCACCTTCCTTCCTACATGCGGGGCCCTGCCCCCTCCTTCCTGCCCCTGCCCGGTTCCCCTCTGATCACCTCTGCTCCTAGTATCCGGGGGCCGAACTGGCTGCTTCCTGCCCATGCTGTGGCCACGCAGGCCACGTCCCTCCTACGCCCAATTCCTCCGCAGAGCCAGGGCTTCCTCTTTCCTGACAGGCAGTAGGCTTCAATCCCAGCCCCATTCCCGGGGCCACGGCCCCCAGCGGCCAGGCTCTGCTGCCCCTGCCCTGCAAGAGCTGAGGCCCTGAGGTCGGGGGTGGGGAGGGAGCCTGGCGGCGTCAAGAGGCCTGGCTGCAAAGGAGGACTTGGGGGAGAGACGCTAAAGGAGACTGGGTGAGAGGAGGACACAGAGGCAGGACAGCTGTGGGGACCCAGAGGCTCCAATGTGAGAGGGGGACACATCTGCAGTGTGAGGCAAGGCGGAGGGTCATCGTCCAAGATTCGCTCTGGCACACGAACATCTCTGCCCTGAAGCAGAGGTGAAGACAGATAAAACCACCAGTCAGGGATGCCCAGGGGGCTCAGCGGTTTAGCGCCACCTTCAGCCCAGGGCGTGACCCTGGGTTCCGGGATCGAGTCCCCCATCCGGCTCCTCGCATGGAGCCTGCTTCTCCCTCTGCCTGGGTCTCTGCCTCTCTCTCTGCGTCTTTCATGAATAAACAAACAAACAAAAAACCCCCACTGTTCAGATACCTCATGAAGAAGCAAGCCTAGAACGGGCAGCCCAAGGCCACCAGCTGCCACCACCGGCCCACTGTGGTGGCACCTCCGCTCTCCCCTCATCACAGCCATATGTACTTCCATGAACAGCATTCCCATATGTCCTACAGATGTGTTACCTCACATCGTACAGGCCTAGGTCTACCTCGCCCACCCCCTGGAACACTCAGCAGCCAAGTCAGCCTTCATGCGTGCCGGGGACTGGGCACCCCCTTGTTCTCTGGCTTGGCCTCACCTGCAGGGGTCTCTGATACCCCCACTGCATGGCTTGGGTGGTACCAAACGCGCAATGGGCCTCATCAAAATCTGAACTACAGGGGATAGACACCATCTTACCATGGGGCATAGAACTCCACCAGAATGATGTCTGCGTCGTTAACCACGTCATCAAAGTTCTCTTTGGTCAGCACAAGAGTGACTTCTGGGGGAGGCATCCAGTTGGGCTGGGAGACCTCTTTGACCTTGGCAACGATTTCTGAAACAAACCAAACAAGCGTGAGCACAGGTAGACGGGAAACGTTGGATTTCCTAAAACGCAGCTGCATCTCTAGCCAGTGCTGCTCTGCAGCTTGAGGCCAGAGTTCCGGGTTGAGGGTCCACTGTTCCTCTTCCCATTGCCCAGCAACTCCTCTGACAGCCCAAGACCAAGCTGATGAGAGAGACACTTTCCGCTGGACTGCGGTGCTAACTGCAAGCTCCCCGAGTCCGACCACGTGTGACCACACGTCGTGGATAGTGTCAAGGGCGTCCCCTCCCCAGGTACAAAAGACCCATGCGTCAAGTCATGCACATCTAGCACCAGCAGGTCACACGTCATGACGTGTACCCAAAACTCAAGAAAAATGCAGAGAGGCAGCACCTCCCCTGCCGCTCAGGCTGCATCGGCAGCACGGGGAGGGTGGTGGCCCCGTCCCCAGAGATGGGCTCAATGATGGGAGTAGGCTCAGGACACGCTCCTACAAGCACCTTCCAAGTGGCTCTTGGGACAGTGGTGGCAAATTCGACGTTTTTCTTTTTTCTTTTTTCATTCTGCTGTGGAATCGCCAAGTAGCTAGATCTAAGTGGTTCTCAGATCAGTGTACACAGCAGCACCTCCACGGCGTGGGCCCCTTGTCCCCCAGGCCACACCCAAAGCCCGGAGCTCATCAACGTGGGGGAGGCCAGTGGCCCAAGGAGCCCCCTTTGGCGAACACTGCTCTCGAGGTGCCAAGCTGGCCCCACGTCTAGCGGTCAAACGTGAGGCACGGACCTCCACACACACAAGCCTGCTCACTTTGAAACAGGAAGGACACGGCTCTCAGTCTGCTCTTAGATTAAGTTCCTGGGTGTGCGGACACGGCTAAGACATCATTGATGAAGCACAACACAAAGGTGCAGGTGGTGTTGGGGATATGCTAACAACTGGGAGAAATTAAACCCACACACACATGCTGCTCTCCCGTGTCCGTGTCTCCGAAGGACACAGGAACTTGTCACACGAGCTGGCTTCCCGGAAGGGAGCTGGACAGCCAGGGTCAGGGTGAAACACTACTCCTCAACTACCGCTGAGAATTCTGAAGCACGGAAGCGGATGATCTAGTCAGAAGACAGACAAACAGGACGCGAAAGCAAGTGTCAATGGCTGTGAGGTTCCCTTTGTGCACCAGCAGTGGGCAGGATCCTCAGAGGATCAGAGGAGAGGCCCCCTACCAGCTCAAAGGGACTCAGATCAGATCCCAGCGACCGCCTCTTCCTCAAATGAGGAACCCAGGGCCTGGCAAGGGGCCACCACGTGTCTGGGACACACAGGGACTGTGTCCTGGCTGTGGTCCTAGTCACTACTACGTCCACTATGCCACACTGGGAGTGGAAACTGTAACACGATGGGGTCTTTTCCTAGCGATTAAGAGAGAAGACAAAGATATCACAATTTTATCTGTTCGTTCATTAAAAAAAAAAATTAATGTTGTGCCTAATGTAAGTCGGGGAGGGACCCATCAGGCCTGGTTTTGGACAACTGCCTGGCTCGTCACACCGGTGGTTCTCAACCCGGGGCTCTGGACTCATGGCTTCAGTTAAGCCCCGGGAGCCTGTAAGAAATGTTCATCAGCAAACCTGACCTGAAACTCAGGGAACTGGGAGCCTGGGGATGGGGCTCAGCCTTGGCTTCAGGAGCCCACCAAGTGACTCTGACGGAAGGTCGACATTGAGGAGCACTGCTCTAGAGCCCCGCCGGGAACCGTGGCCTCGTGCCATGCCAACACACGGGCTCCAGATCTTGACTTTCATGGTCTGAAATGGGAAGACACCCTTCCTACCCCTGGATGAGGTTACTTTGATCTCAGTTACTGGAATGCTCCAGCAGGGAGCACTGCCAGAAGCTGGTGCTCCTGGGACCACTCCCGGCCCACTCAACTTGTCCTATTATCCAAACCAGCCCCCCTTAACTTTCTTTTGAAAAGAGAGGCCTGGCCCACCCTCCTCCATGAGTGCAGGCTCCACTCACCTTCCTGAGTCCTGGAGCCCTCATAGTCCACAGCCTGCCCCTTCTTGAGGATCTTGATGGTGGGGTAACCGCTCACACCAAACCTGCCAGCCAGCGCGGACTCCGAGGTTGCGTCGATCTTGGCCACAGGAATGGGAGGGTCGTTCTCCTTCAAGGTGCTGGCAATTTTTTCATATTCCGGAGCAAACTGCTTGCAGTGTCCACACCTGAGAATGAGATTTAGGGAAGAAGAAGCAGGTTAACTGTACCCATGGGGACTGACATCCAGCCGTGCACCTCTGGACGGGGGCACGGGGACCCGGATGATCGCAGGTAAGAGGAGACACACAAGGTATCACAGTGAGGAAGCCAAGGTGGCTGGAGTCAGACACATGTAGGCCGGAATTCCAGCTCTGGCCTGGGCTCACGCTTCCTGCACCTCCAAACCCCAGTGCTTTTGTCCGGAAGCTTTAAAGTTTGTCCAGGGACCCCTCTCGATGCATCTGTGAGGTAAAAACTCTTTACAGAAGGTGTCTCCGGTCTTCTTCACTCACTCTCTCAGAGCGTACAGTGGTGTCTCCCAGAGGCCACACGACCAACCACAATGTTGGCGTAACAATATCATGCTAACAAGTGAGGGCTACGGCTAGAGAGGAGTTAATACGGAAAGTTCTGTGTTCTGATGTTGAATATGGTAACTGCTGAGAGCCACGACCCACCTAAAAAGCAATCTGGACTCCCAGGACCAAAAAGTTTGAGAATACGGACCTACAGCGTAGTAATATAATCTCACTGACCTGTTCCAAGGACAATTTAGATATTTTACAAAAAAAACAAAAAAAACCACCTCACGCCTGAACCTCAGGCACTGGTCCAGTAGCCAAGCAGATCTTAACTACGGTGTGCCTTTCCACACCAGAAACTACCCGAAGGCCAAGGCTGCACCCGGGCAGCAACTGGCAGGAGCAGGGCGGCAGGATGGCCTCGAGGTGGGTCAGGGCAGGATCTGCAGCGAGGGACAGGTCGTCACCAACCCCGTCTCCGTGTTGTCACAGACTGTTAAGCACGCCAACCCCTCCGCTGAACTATCCGAGGACACACTTGTATCTTAGGCTGCCAGGGGCCGCGTTCTGAGGGCCGGCTCCCAGACGCTGAGCTCCTGGCGTTCCTGTACCCACACTCCCCCTGCCACCCTCACCGTGAGTCGTCAAGCCCGTGGGCATGGAGGACCCCTCCCCCAGTCCTTACCACGGAGCATAAAACTCCAGCAGCACCGTGTCTTTGTCAGCCACAAAGTTATCGAAGTTCATGTCATTCAGGACCAGGACACCATTTTCCTCCTTGACTTCCAAGTCATCCTCCTCCTCTTCCTCGTCGTCGTCGTCCTCCTCCTCTTCATCCTCAATGGCATCTTCTTTATTGGAAGAATCTGAGCGGAAAACATCCAAACCGGTTAGGAAATTGGTGACTCTCCTCCTTCAAAGCTTTCCTAGAACCCCAAACCCAGCAAACGTGCCATGAGGCCTGAGTGGTCCCTGAGGGCCACCATGAGCCGAGGTGGCGACATCAGGCCTCTAATAAAATCTTTAAAGAAAAAAAAATTATTTATTCATGAGAGACACAGAGAGAGAACCAGAGGGAGAAGCAGGCACTGGGAACCCGACGTGGGATTCGATCCCAGGACCCCGGGATCACACCCTGGGCTAAAGGCAGATGCTCAACCACTGAGCCACCCGGGCGTCTCCTAGAATTCAAAGTTTAAACGCCCAGCAGGACTTGAGGACAGGACCTCCGCCTCCTGGCCAGGCTGGGAGAACCCTAACCATCACTCGTCACTCCTGCACTGGGATCCGATCCATTCCCAGTATCACCCTGCTGCGGGCCTTGCAGGCCTCGCCCCTGCGCCGTAGCAAGGCTCCTTTATCCACCTCCTGTGCTTTGTGCGTTAGGGTACCTCGTTCTGTGGGTACCCTGCCTCTGTGCTCCAGGGCAGGCTGTCACCAACGCCTTCTTCACGGCACCATGCTCTCCACAGATAGGGCCTCATCAGTCTTCCTGTGAACAAATGGCTGCCTGGCCCCCCAACCAGTACCAACGGGGACAAGTACTTGTGCTCGGCTTTACATTCTGGAGGCTGGACTCATTCCACTTCTGAAAGGGGGTGGCATTACAACAGGGCCCCACAGGTTTCACCGTGGAGGGAAGAGGGTGAGGAACTGTATTTACTTATCAAGTCACCCCACAGTAATCCCCAGCGTGGGAGTCCCCCCACGAATAATTTTAAAGATTTACAGGGGTAACGTGCATCAGTAAAACACAACAAATCGCACCTTCGGAGAATGCCTTGCCTGGAAGCACAGCTCTCTTCCCAGAGCACAAGAACCTGCTCATCTTACCATCTGTGTTTCACTGACCACTCGTCCGACGACGGAGACAAGGAACCCTGGGACTGCAGTGCTCGTTAACCAGCTTCTCCCGCTGCTGTCACAGCAGCCAAGTACAGCAAGCCCCAGAACTGATTTAACTCTGGAGCCAGATCGTGCCAAGGGGCCAATTATTCTTTCCCCAGATACTTCCCAGGAGATAAAGCAACTCTGATAGTTCTGTGCTGGGGGCGGAGGACCAAGTCAGCCTTGGGGTCTGGGAACCTCTGGGACTTGCCCCACCTTGGCCCTGCCCCACCGAACCCAGTGCCGGCCCCACAGCCGCCGGGACGGGCCAGGGAACTAACTGGTCTGGGTGCTGTGGCAGCTTTGCCTCTTTTCATAAAAATCTGCAAACTAATTACAAACCAAAATCCACCAGGAGCCACACTTTCCTCAACCACGTTCCTTTACACATCCCGCTGCTTCTTCCTGACTTCTACGTTTCGCTCTCCAGTTTAGGGTACAAGTTCTCCTCCTTTGTGGGGGAAGGAAGAAAGGCCTGTAAAACAGGGGGTGTCTGGGGGGCTCAGTGGTTGAGCGCCTGCCTTGGGCTCAGCTCATGACCCCGGGGTCCTGGGATCCGGTCCCGCATCGGGCTCCCCGCAGGGAGCCTGCTTCTCCCTCTGCCAGTGTCTCTGCCTCTCTCTGGGTCTCTTATGAATAAATAATAAATAAAAAAATAAAATCTCAAAACAGAAGCCACCAACCTGAGAAGTACAAACCAAGCAGACCTGCTTGGCTCCCGGGCCTTCGGGCCCTCTGCTCCCCACCCCCCCCACAAGGACCTCTAGGTGGGGACAGGCCCGCAGAGGCCCCGCCGCCAGCCAGCACTGTCATCAGGCTTCCTGGACATGGAGAAGGGCAGGACCTGGGGGAAGACAGTGCGGGCTCAAGCCCCATCTCCACCTCTCAGGCTGGTGGCCTCAACGCAGTCCGCCTCCCCCGATGATCGGCAGCCAACACTGCAGCCTCAGGTCTTCGAGAATCTGAGCACCCAGGGCTCTTGGGAACCTGAATTTAACCCTGGCTGGCTAGGGCTTCCAGGTTCTTCTGGAAATACTGCCTAGGACAACCCCACAAGGCAAGAATTGAGTGTTGAGCTTTCCTGCTCTGGCCTGTGGTACAGCAGTCACACTGGCTTTCCAAAAGGCTAATCTGATCACCCATGGCTCCAAAGTCTCACTCAAAACGACCCATGTGACGGCTGCAAACCTGCAGACTCAACGTCAGGATGTTCTGCAGGTTCTCTGCTTTGGGTCAGGGACCTAGGAGGCACCCCACACCTGGCCTCGGATCCGGATGCTTCATGGAGGCTAGAGAGCCTGCTGGGGGCAGCTGGGCATGGCTCGTGGGCCAAGGGCATCCGCTCCCACTGCCTGACCGCTCTGGCCAATACAGGAACCAGATTTACTTGCAGGCAGTTGCAAGACTGCAGGACAGGTGGGAACCTAATCTGCACTTTAGGCTAGGGCACGGCCGGGGGGTGGGGGGCAGAGGGGCCCGGGGGGCAGAGGGGCCCGACGACCCACGCCAAGCACAGGGATAGGGAGAATTTTACTAAGAGGTTAAGGCAAGGATGCCTTCCTATCGATGCTCAGCCTGACACGGCCTGGAGCACCACCAGGGACAGTCCTTGTGATTCAGTGGGGGTCCCCAAACTACCACGGGACAGAGTTCCTAAGACTGAACTCATTTCTTGATTATTTATTTATTTGTAAGATTTTATTTATTTACTCATGAGAAACACAGAGAGAGAGGCAGAGGGAGAAGCAGGCTCCATGCAGGGAGCCCGACGTGGGACTCCATCCCGGGTCTCCAGGATTATGCCCCAGGCCAAAGGCGGGGCTGCCCTTGATACTTCTTTTAAAGGATAACAAACAAAATGACAGAAAATTCCCCACATAGTGAAAGGCTCCCAAATGCATTAAGGCAGGTCCCTACCTTTCCAAGTCCTTGCCAGCCTGCAGACAACCCCAGGCCTGAACCTCCTGCAATCTGAGAGGCCGGTGGCTCTATGTTCCTAACCTACTAGAAACCCACACATCCCTGCAAAGAAAACATCCCACACGGTAGTAGGGAGTCCACTTTTTCGCTCTTATGACTGGACATTCTAGGAGAGAAAAGATCCCCAAAGCCTTCTAGCATCTTCTGGATGGGTGCCACTCTCCCCAGCACCCGGCCGACGAAGCCTCTCACATCACCTCCACATTGCTTAGCCCACGTGGTAAGGCCATTCCGGAAGTGGGGGCCCCAGGCCTCTGCGATCCCTGTCCACTCCCAACGGTACATCCGACGACAACCCTGGAGCCCTGCCCAGCCTGCACACAGGCAGCTCCTTTCAAGACGTCCTCACTATCCTCCCTCTTCGGTCCCCGCCAGAGAAGTGCCCGGAACGGCTGGATAATTTCTACCGTCAGGTCAATACTGAAGTGGACATTAAACATGGAAAAAGAGAAATTCGTTACCAGGCAGATCACTACAGCTGATGTCTGCAAAGGGGCCAGGCACTGTGCTGAGCTCTTACACACGTTCTCTCACCCGTCGGGGAAACATAGCATGCACTTTACAGACAAGGAAACTAAGGCACCGAGCGTGTTAGTCACCTGCCCAAGGATCAAGAAACTAGTTAGTGGAGGGTCCTGACCACTTCACTGCTCTGGCTCATTGTCATCTCTTTTCTTCCTAATAGGCCCAAGGCTTTAGGTGGAATCATTTGATAATCACTTCTCAGGAATGAAGAGAGGCAGATGAACAGTTCTTTAGCACCCACACAAGGGGATTTCCACCTGACTTTTTAAAAGATTTTATTTATTTATGCATGAGAGACACAGAGAGAGAGAGAGAGGCAGAGACACAGGCAGAGGGAGAAGCAGGCTCCATGCAGGGAGCCCGATGCGGGACTCGATCCCAGGTCTCCAGGATCGTGCCCTGGGCCCAAGGCAGATGCTCAACCGCTGAGCCACCCAGGCGTCTCTCCACTTAACTTTTAAGTCTATGCCAATTCCAGCTAAAAACAGGCAACAGGGCAGCCTGGGTACCCTGAGAAGAGGGAGAGGTTGAAGCAGGCTTCACGGCAGGGAGCCCGATGTGGGACTCGATCCTGGGTTTCCAGGATCACACCCTGGGCCAAAGTCGGAGCTGAACCGCTGAGCCACCTGGGCTGCCCTAAATAAAATCTTAAAGATAAATAAAAAAGAAAAACAAAAACAAAAAACAAAAAACCAGGCAATAACTAGCATCAAAGTATTTTCTCTCACTATTTTGGCTGGAAAAACGTGAAACGTACAGGTGATTTCTAACCCGAGACACCACACCTAAGGCTTGCACCGCCAGAGCTTAAGCTCTATTTAGTGACCATATTCTTGGTGGTGGTGGTGGTGGTTGTCTTTTGGGGCCCAGACAGCACTGTGCTGTTTGAATCCGAAATATAAGAGAGACAAAACAAAAACAAAACCTGGAGACTTGGAAAGGCGGAGGTAGAGAGAAATGTGGGCCCAAAATAAATCGGCAGGACAAGTTTACCTGTGAGAGAGAAGGGTCAGGGATGCCCTCAGGGATGGGGGAAGGGTCAAGGTAGGGACTAGGAGCCGCTTCCACCCCCCTGACCATGCACCAGCCTCACCAGAGGATAGTGCCCTTGAGCATGACAACTCCAGAGATTCCTGGGCTCACCCCAGAGGCAACTGCTTCCCAGGGCCTTCATGGCATTAGTGATCTGTCACCCAAACAATAAACCTGCTGGTCCTAATAACCCTTGGTGTCCTCCACCTGAGTCCACCACTCTCTCAGGCCTCCTAAGAATCACTGGATCGGGGATCCCTGGGTGGCGCAGCGGTTTGGTGCCTGCCGTTGGCCCAGAGACGGGAGATCGAGTCCCACGTCGGGCTCCCTGCATGGGGCCTGCTTCTCCCTCCTCCTGTGTCTCTGCCTCTCTCTCTCTCTCTCTCTATCATAAATAAATAAATCTCAAAAAAAAAAAAACAAACCACTGGATCAAAGTCAAGACAACAAAACTATTTTCCTTCTTAGCCACGTTCCGAAAAAAGTCCCTCCATCCCCACGGGTCCTGGAACTTTCACGTCCGTCCCCTCCGGCCCCCAAAGCGTGACTTGCGCAGGTAGCCGGGAAGCAGAGGTCTACGAGGCGGATTTCAGGCCCCCGCCCCCGCCCCCGCCCCCACCCCCACCCCCGGAAGCCTGCTTTGGTGTAAGTTTTGGGCCTTCGAGTTTCCTGGAGGCCTCAAGTCTCACTGGAGGGCCGCGCTGCCTTCCACCCGCCCTCCGCAGGCGTCTGTGTCGCCCAGTGCGGTTCTTACTTCCCTGTTCGGGCGAAGGCTCCAAGTGGTGACCGCCCACCCCCCCAAGTCACTCAACCTGTTTGAACACTTGCCCTGCACCCGAGTACTAGACGGGGGCGTCTCCTTCCATTGGCACAAAGCGGCGGGAAGAGTCGGTCGCCGGGACAAAGGCCGGGGAGGAAGACGGTCAGGACCGGGGCGCGAGGCCCGCAGCCTGGGGACACCGCGCCTCGCCCGGGGGGTGCGTCCCGCTCGTCGGGGCCTGGACGCCGCCACCAGCGGGGGCTTCAGGGCGGCCTCGGCGGCCCCGCCCGGCTCGCAGGGGGGGCGGGAGGGACCCCGGCAGACGGGGCGCGGCCTGCGGCCTCGGGCAGCTGCGACCCGGGCCGCGGGCCCGCGGCGCCGCCCTCCCTGAGCCCGACGCCCGCGAGCCCCGCCAGGCCTACAGGGCCCGCTCTAGCCGGCGGCCGGCGGCGCGTGCCGCGGAGCTCGCCCCGGGCCTCGGCGCCGCCCCTGCGGGCCCCGCCGCCGCCGCGCTCGCCCGCGAGCCGGGCCCGCGCCCGAGCGACCCTGGCAGGGCCGAGGGGCAGCTGCTGCCGGGGAGGCGGAGGCCGCCCCCGCCCCCGCCCCCGCCCCCGCCCCCGAGCCCTCACGCGCCCGCTCGTCTCCCGGAGCCCGCCGGCCGCTCACCTCCGTCGGGGCCCGCGGCGGCCAGCAGCTGCGCCAGCGCCAGGAGCAGCAGCAGCAGCAGCCAGGCCGTCCGGGGCCTCATGGCGGCGGCGCGGCCTCCGCGGACCTCGGGCAGCGCTCGCCGGCCGCGCGCGGGGGCGGGCAAGCCACGGCCCGGCCAATCGCAGCCGCCCCGGGGCGCGGGCCGCGTGCGCCTCGGTCGCCGCCCTCCGCGGCCGCCGCGCGCTTAAGGCTCGGAGCCCTAACGTGAGGTGCCCCCTTGCGATTGGCCGCGCCGCAGCCACCAATCCGCGGCTGCCACTCGGTTGGCCCCGAGCGCACGGGCGGACGCCGGGAGGGAGGAGGCGCGGAGGCGGCGGCCCGGCCCGGGGGCGGAGGGGGGGCCTGGGACGCGATTGGCCGGCGGGGCGGGGGGCGGGGCGGGGCCCTGGGGCGCGATTGGCCGGCGGGGCGGGGGGCGGGGCGGGCCCTGGGACGCGATTGGCCGGCGGGGGGGGGGGCGGCGGGCCCTGGGGCGCGATTGGCCGGCGGGGCGGGGGGCGGGGCGGTCCCTGGGACGCGATTGGCCGGCGGGGGGGGGGGGGCGGCGGGCCCTGGGACGCGATTGGCCGGCGGGGCGGGGGGGCGGGGCGGACCCTGGGGCGCGATTGGCCGGCGGGGCGGGGGGCGGGCCCTGGGACGCGATTGGCCGGCGGGGCGGGGGGCGGGGCGGGCCCTGGGGCGCGATTGGCCGGCGGGGCGGGGGGCGGGGCTGGACTCCGCAGGCCGCCTCCGAGCTGGGCCGGAAGAAGACGTGTTCTTAGGGGAGGCGGACGTGGGAGCCTCGGGAGGCCGCAGGCCCAGGCGGCAGAGGGGCCTGAGCGGGTTCTGTTGAAGGGAAAAGAAGAGGACGTGGATCCCGAGTCTGCTTTGTGGGTTCTGTGTGGGTTCGAGCAAATAGAAGTTTGCATTTCTTCCCTGGCTTGAAGTACCTATTGGGCTTGGGGGTGGGGACGAGCGAGCAGGAAGGTGCATCCAGACCTAAGGGTTCTGCGAGCCGCTCTCCACGGGTTCACCTATGAACAGACCCTCAGGTGCTTGTCTAAACTTTGTCTCATGTTGGTTGTTCCCTGGTGATTTTCGCCAGAAGTTCAATGCCAGAGTGGCCTATATAGATGTAAATACGGTCCAGGTTTTCCCTCTTGACAATGTGAAAGAAGACAATTAGGTTAAGTAATTGGTGCATATGCCAAACCTGCGGTGGTTATTAGGGTCTGAGATTTCGTCCACACGAGGGGATTAGTATGCCTGCAGAGACAGAGGAGACAAGTAGGGGGAAAATCCTAAGCAGGAGTATTTTTCTGTTTATACAGATTGAGTCAGGAAGGAAGACAGCTGGCAACTCACAGGCATTAGCAATTAGGAGATTTTTGCTTGATGAATTTTTATTGAATTCCTGCAAATCTGATGATTCTCCCCTCAGTTGTGTAGGGCAGAAAGACATTCTGCGACTAATGATGCCAGAGTATACAGCTGGCAGCCCCTTACCTGACCGCTTTCAATGTAGACCATCTAACAGCTCAACACCATTTTATATTTACCTGCTTTTAAATTCCAGTATAGTTAACATCCAGTGTAGTTTCAGGCGCACAGTTTAGTGCATCTACAATTCTACGGTGTTCATCAGCAATATCATTTGAGGAACTTTTTTTTTTTTTTTTAAAGATTTTATTTATTTAATTGTGAGAGACACAGAAAGAGGCAGAGACACAGGCAGGGGGAGAAGCAGGCTCTCTACAGAGCCCAATGGGGGACTCTATCCCAGGATCCAGGGACCACCGCCTGAGCCAAATGCAGAGGCTCAACCACTGAACCACCCAGGTACCCCTCAATTGAGGGACTCTTCAGGATCCCTGGGTGGCGCAGCGGTTTGGCGCCTGCCTTTGGCCCAGGGCGCGATCCTGGAGACCCGGGATCGAATCCCACATCCGGCTCCCAGTGCATGGAGCCTGCTTCTCCCTCTGCCTGTGTCTCTGCCTCTCTCTCTCTCTCTCTGTGTGACTATCATAAATAAATAAATTGAAAAAAAAATTGAGGGACTCTTCAAAGAGATAGAGCCCAGCCAGAATTTTTGTCTTTCATGGTAGTTTCCTATAGATCCTCATAAACCTGAAAGGAAAGAGAGTTCCTAGGATGCCTGGGTGGCTTAGCGGTTGAGCCAAGCCTTCGGCTCAGGGCGTGATGGAGTCCCACATCGGGCTCCCTGCAGGGAGCCTGCTTTTCCCTCTGCCTGTGTCTCTGCACCTCTCTCTCTATCATGAATGAATAAATAAATCTTAAAAAAACCCCAAAAACATTAAATGTTCTTTTTTAAAAGCATTTACAGTAGAGCAATAGAAGTTCATTCAACAACAAAACATTATCAAGTTGGAAATATGCTTGCTCCGTCTTTATCCCTAAATCTCACTGATTTAGTTATGAGTACCAATGGGCTGGGAGACCACTGTGTCAAAGGTCAGAATAGGGAGAGATGATATATATTTTTTTAAGATTTATTTATTTATTCATGAGAGACGCACAGAGAGAGGCAGAGACACAGGCAGAGGGAGAAGCAGGCTCCCGGAGGGAAGCCTGATGTGGGACTCGATCCCAGGACCCAGGATCACAACCTGAGCTGAAGGCAGATGCTCAACCACTAAGCCACCCAGGCACCCCAGGAGATGATATTTTCATAACTATCTCCAAGATCCCTATAATTGGTTGTGAGTATAGAGGAGCTGACTGTTAAGTCATCGAACTTGCCCCTGGCTTGTCCCTCTGGCTGCCAATTAACAATAGGGCTATATTTACGGGTCAGTTTGAGCATGTGCTTCCCTCTTCCCAGCATGCCTAGAGAAATGGCCTATCGGGAAACAACCCTCTCAATATGTAGATATTGTCCGGGCAATCTGTGGCAACATCATAACACATCCTGGTACTTAGGTTACCTAATCACACGCCAAGTGTATATGGTCAGAAAACGGCACACAGAGAACAGGCGGCTTCATATCTGCATGCCCTGCATGATGAGGCTTATGAGCAATCTGATCAGAGAATCAGACCATGTGGGATGACACGATTTTTTACATGCGCTTGGAGAACTCAGGAATGGTTCTTACTACCACCCCATGGTTATGATAGAAGGGGAGACACTGCGGGCGCCTGGGTGGCTCAGTCAGTTGGGAGTCCGGCTCTTGGTTTCAATTCAGGTCATGATCTCAGGGTCAGGAGATAGAGTCCTGAGTCTGGCCCTGTGCTCAGTACCGAGTCTGCCTGGGATTTTCTTCCTCTCCTGTTGCTCCACTGCACCCCCCCCCATCAAATAAATAAATAAAATCCTTTTAAAAACTGAGGGTGGGGCCAGCCCGGGTGGCTCAGCGGTTTAGCACCAGCTTCAGCCCAGGCCTAATCCTGGAGACCCGGGATCGAGTCCCACTTTGGGCTCCCTGCGTGGAGCCTTTTTCTCCCTCTGCCTGTGTCTCTGCCTCTCTCTGTCTCTCATGAATAAATAAATAAATATTTTTTAAAAAATGAGGGGGGGAGGGAGCTGAAGCTTTCAGAAATGAAAGCATTCATTTTCAGAAATATCTGCTTCTTCGGCCAAATGCTACTGTAGTCAGAGATACACCTGCATATAATTTTCTAGGCTACATTTTTTCCCCTAGGCTTCATTTTATTTTTTTAATTTAATTTAATTTAATTTAATTTAATTTTTTTGCATATTCTTTTTTTATTTTTATAAATTTATTTTTTATTGGTGTTCAATTTGCCAACATATAGAATAATTGATTTGGGGCATTTTTAAATACTTGCCCGCAAAGGAAAGGAAGAAATGGGCAAGTCTCACACCATCCCTGGAAGCTTCACACACGGCTCTCAAGCTAACGGCCAGAACACTCAGGAAAACCCATTTGCCAAGGGGAGACTGACCACCTGGACCCTCTAGATCCAATATTACACACAGTAACTCAGAATATACGTTTTGGGGCATTTCAGACGGGATGATCGACAAAACGGAGTGTATGCTGATGATGAACCAAGTCTCAACAGATAGTAAAAGACTGACCTCCCACTGACTATGACCCTGAAAACTGGATTTCAGTGGGAAATCCACGACATGGAGACAACTGGGAAATCCCTTGCTGCTGAGGAAGGAAGCAACACACTTGTACCTGACCCATGGGTCAAAGAACACATCACCGTAAAACTTGGAAACTATTCCAGACTAAATGTAATGAAAACACAATTTTGCGTGGGATGTAGATTACAGGGACAAACAGACTGCCACGTGTCTATATTAGAGAAGAAGAAATGCTGATAATCAGGTAAAGAAACTTCTCCTTTAAGAAGCCATAGAAGGGGATCCCTGGGTGGCGCAGCGGTTTGGCGCCTGCCTTTGGCCTAGGGCGCGATCCTGGAGACCCAGTATCGAGTCCCACGTCGGGCTCCCGGTGCATGGAGCCTGCCTCTCTCTCTCTGTGTGTGTGACTATCATAAATAAATTAAAAAAAAATTTAAAAAAGAAGCCATAGAAGAACAGCAAATAAAACAGAAGAGAGCAGAAGCAACAACATCACAAAAATAAAAGCAGAACTCTCTTAAAAAGAAAGAAGATGCAATGCAGGCTGTGGAAAATCATAAAGCCAAATGATGGTGGTCTGAAAAACTAAGATAAATGTGATTTAAAAAAAAAAAAGAATAGAGTGTAGAAAATGCAAGCACTGAAGACATGATGATGGAGACCAATAAGTGCTGGGACAGGCTGCTCTGCCCAGAGTGTCAGCATCACCAGCCAAGTGCACGGTGTGCAGCAGCTAGCCCCGTGTGCCTGGTGTTGCTCCTTAGGGATTCCCCTGGCCTTTCCCTCGCAGCCTGCGAGGGCACCACATACCCAGACTTCCCTGCCACAGCCGCTCCAGCTTTAAACCTGCTGTGTCAGGGACCTGTCTGTCCACGTGGATGCTTCCAAAACTAGGAATGTGTGCCCACTTGGCCAGAACAGTGACGAGCTCCCTGACTTACATAGCTTACTTCCCAACTGAAATTGCATCACACAGATTTGCCTGGTGGAGCCAGGACTCCAGCTACAGTTCTGTATTCTTTAGAGTTCTCCTTTATCCTCGTGTTACAGAAGCGCCGTTTCCCAGGTAATAATTCAACGATTAAATTGGCCCTGTTTTTTTGCAGGGGTA